AGGGACCCGCCCCACCGGCTCATCTTTATATTTATAGAGCCCAGTTGGTGTCTGGCATGTAGCCAGTGCTCAATAAATGTTTCTGAATGATCGGAACCAAGGTGACTGCCTGTTCCCTCTCCCGGTCCTAGGGAGCCCGTCACAGAAGAGGTCATCAGCCCCACTAACTGGGGCTAGAGGTGACAGAGGTGTGCCCAGGAATAATTCCGGGCACCTGGGCTCTCAGACTCTATGGCTCTCCAGGGTAGGCCAAACCCACTGCCTGATGGGGACCCCTGCCAGCTTGAAAAAAACCCAGCAGGGAGCTGGGCCAGAGGTCATGGCAGGCAGGCTGCCCAGGAAAAAGAATGGCATGAGTGCCCCAACGCCCAGCATCCCAGGCCGACACCGTCCATGGGCGGAGCTGAGGGGCCTGGGGGTCTCCCTGTTCCTGAGGCCCAGCTGCCTGACTCTGTTCCTGCCTGCTCTTCCCCCAACTCTCCAAAATAGCCCAAGTTTAGTTTACCCCCTCCCCCACTTTACACCCCACCCCCAAACGGTGACAAACAAACACCTCATCATCCAGAGACAAGATGTTCCGAGGCAAATGCTAGTCTGTTCAGAATAAGAGAGGAAAACACAAAACAAACCCAGGAGGAGACTGAGAGGCTGCCTCCAGGAGGTGGACGGGCTGCCCTGGGGTGTGTTGGCACTGCCCTCCTGGGGGGTCAGGAAACCAGGGCACCTAGCACCTGGCCTCAGGTTCCTGGCCCTCCTTAGCCCAGAGGCCTGGGACCAGAGGTCCTGCCCGTATTCCGATGCCTGTCATGCCCACCGACCAGCTGGTCCCAGGCAACGCCCAGGCCCGCGAAGCCGAGGGCCGTCAGAAGGGGCGAGCAGAACTGAGCTCTGCATTTCCTTCCTAGAAGGCCTTGGTTGCATTCCTCTGCCTGGGCCAGGGGACACCTAGTCTCCCCTCCTAACCAAGCCTCCTTTCTTTTTGTCCTATGAAAGTCCCACAGTGAGGGGGGAAAAAAAAAGCAAGCAAGCAAGCTCAGATGTGAGCACTTCTAGGGAGCAAGGAGACAGGAGCTTTATAGTTTGGAGGAAGACATGAAGGAAGGGACGGGAGGAGAGCAGAAGGGCCACCTGTGAGCCCTCCTAGTAGAAGTCAGAGGCTTTCTCCAGGACGAGCCACAGGAGGCGGCTGCAGCAGTGGTACAAGCACAGACGCAGATTCACGAGATCTGAGTTCGGATCCTAGTTCTACCACCAGCTGTGTGGCCTTGAGCAAGCCCCTCTGGGCCTCAGTTTCCTTATCTGTAAACTGAGGTTAATACTGCCTGCCTCACAGGGCCAGATGAGATATCAGAAGAGAGCACAGGTGACAGCACCTGACACATGGTGGATGCTTCACCCGTGTGAAACCCCGGCTCCAGCAGCCTTCCCAGAGCAGCGGGGATCCTGCGGGTCATTCCTCTCCACAGAAGGGAAACATCCTGGGAAAACTCAATCCAGGTCCTGACTCAGCCAAAGGAGAAGGACTATCATCCATAACAGGGCTGATAACCGAGCTAAAGCCAGCTCGGCCCCTGGGGCCTCTGGAGACTGGGGGTGATGGAGGGGAGTGCCCAGGGCCCATGCATCAGGCCTCCCGTCTCCCCTCAGAAACGGAGGAAGGCCTGATTCAAGAGCTCTGGATGCTCGTCCCCCTGAGGCTGGAAAGCCACCCTGGCTGTTGCTGAGCCCTCACTCTGCCTGGGACTGCGGGCAGTGGGCAGGTGGGGCCAGGACCAGGGGTGGGACTTGTGCCTGCCCCCAGAAACGGAACCACAGCAGCAGCCGCCCGTGGGCCAGGCCACAGTGAAAGGAGTGGGGGTGAGCACCCCAGGCCAGGAGGCTGCCTGCCCAGGAATGGCTTCTCGGGCCAGGCCAGTAGCTAAGCAACAGGCTCCTACAACCAGCTCAATTCACTTTCCATTTGTATCTGTTTTGCTTCTGTCATAAGGCGCTACTCAAATGACCAGCTGCTGTGTGTGAAGACGCCTGGGGCACCGCGCTGCTCCTCTGCCCTTACAGGCCCTCGGTGAGCGCCCCAAGCCCACCACCGCAGTGCTGCGGGTGCGGGCTCCCTCCAGGGAGGCAGCGGAAGGAGGCCCCAAGAGAAGGAAGGCATGCACACAGACCCAGGGGACAGCGCTGGGGGGTGGGGACAGTGTTACTGGCCTGGGATAAACAGGGAGGGAGGGCACAGGCCCAGAATCCCTGCACCTCAGACCTTCAGGCCTAGAGGGGTAACAGAGTAAGTGTTCCTTCTGATGTCCTCATCTGCCCCAGGGTTTTCTGATGTCATCCACAGGAGGTACAGAACCTCAGAATACCTCCCAGGCCAGAGTAAGAAACAGCCACCTCTCCACCTGGAAAACAGCCTTGTTCAGTGGAAAGAACATGTTGTAATCCAAGGAGCAAGGGCTTGGGAGTCAGGGAGCCCTGGCTGTGGTTCACAGCCCGCTGAGATCGGGCTGTGTGATCTCAGGCAAGTTGTTTACCCTCTCACAGCCTCAGTCCATTAAATTGGGATAATGCCTCCACTGTAAGTTTATTGGGAGGATTAAAGAGCAATGCCAAGTACCTGCATGGAGTGCTCAATAATTAGCAGTTGTTACTAATGGATTTTTTTAAATTATGAATTCTCACTTGTGTGTCCCAGGAACAGCTGAAGGCTTGCTTCTGTGCCCCTTAGGAGGCAAGTCCTCTTTCGTCATGAGTGCCACCAAAGCTCCATACAGCTGTTTACACTAGTATTAACAACCAGAAGACTGGAAACTAGGGGTGGTTTGCTGGCCCTGCTATTAGTTAAGTGTCTTTGACAAGACACTTAATGTCTCTGAATCCTGGTTTCTTCATTGCTTAAATGGGAAGAATTAATCCTATCCGGCCTCAAACTTCTGCCCTCAACTGGAATGCCCTGGCTACTGTGATTCCACATCAAAAGGGCAAAGTATCCTGGGCTCCTGGAGGACTTCAAGGGGCCAACCAACCAGCCTCTGAGCTTACTCACAGAGCCCCCTGGCTGGTCTACTCTGAAGTGAGTTGAGGAGAAAATAAACTTGTTGATGGTACAGCCCCTCAGAATCCAAGAGGGAAGAACCTGAGAAGGTGAAAAGTCCCCAGAGGCCCCAGAATGCTCAGAAATAGGGCCTAGCTCCCCTACCCACCTCATTCATTCCAGCCTCCCTGGCTTGGCCCCTTTTTCCATCTCTATCAAGCTAAACCTGCTTCCTCATTCCCCGACCCCCAACTTTGAAAGAGCCTAAATTATCTACACTTGTCTCTCTCCTCTAGTGCACACAGCCAAGAGCTGACACCAGCAGTTAGGGAACTGCATGAGAAGCCCATGGAATTCACAGCAGACTCGGGCCAGGGGCATTACTGCGCCCTCACCTTCTGAGCTGGTCTCAGGGCTGCAGGGGGAGAAGCAAAGACAGCTGACCTCAGCTTCACTCTCAGTCCTGAAAAAGGTCCCTGCCTTCCAATGACGGCACTGGGACGCCTGCAGCCCCAGCCTGGTACCCCAGGACCGCTGAGACTTCTGCTCCTCCCGTCTCTTCCCAGCAGGAGATGCAGCTGCCCTGCTCTAGCATACGCCAGCCTGGCCCCTCCCTGCAGCCCATTTCCCAATCTCCTGCCCTCCCCTGGGTGGGGAAGTAGAACTTTTCCTTCCACGACTGGGTTGAGTCCCAACACAGGAGGTGCTGGGGAGGGCAGCAGGGCTCTGAGACTCATTAACATGACAACTTGGGATGCCAGAGGTGACAACCAGCTTCCACAGCAGGAGGCAGTCCCCAGACCCAACACATTCTGTAGCTCTTTCCTGATTGCGAGACAGACTGCAGGCTGCCAGCCATGAGATCAGACACCAGCCTCCAGGGTTCTCTTTTTTAAAGAATCTAAAGCCACCCTTCAGGGTTGTTGTTGTTGTTGTTGTTTTTTAGCTGCCCAAGCATATCTCCCAGCCCCTCCGCCTAAGGGGGTTAGGGGAAACTGGATTGACTGGGGGAGGAGGTGGTGAGAAGGGACCGGTTCTTGCCTAAATCAACCTATCTGCCCCTGCCTCCCCCCATACACCCATTTCAAGCAGTAACCTGAACCAGGGCTTTCTGGGAAGCCAGTGTGTGCTGCAGCAGGAAGAAAAGCAGCAACAAACCTGGGATCATCACCAGGCAGTGTGGCTGGCACTGGTCGTGGAGCCTGCATGGCCCACAACATTAGGCCCTTCCTGTCTAACTGTCCCCTCATCACCACTGAGGTGTCCAGGAAGCCCTAGGGCCATGGCATGGGGCAGGCATCTTGACTTATCTCCCTGTAAAGAGGCTTCTCCCAGACCTGAACGAGAGGCCTGCATGCTAGTCCCAGCTCTGCCTGTTATGAGCTGAAAAGGCTGAAGCCCGTGTCCCCCTCTCTAAAACTTATAGTTCTAGCACTGAGCTGCTAGGAGGATTGAAATAAGGTGGCGTGCAGGGAAGCAGCGAACGCAATGGCCTGCCTACCCTGTGGTGCTAACACACTCTAGTTTTCTTCCCCTAAACCCTGCCTGACCCCAGCAGAAGGCCTAACCCCAGCTCTCTAGGATTCTGGCCCTGTGGAGGAGTGGGAGGTAAAGGACGAGAGGCAGCCTGTGCACAGAGAAGGGGCTAGAAGAGCTCAGCTAAGGGCACCCCCCTCGCTGGGGGGGATGCAGCAAAGCAGGCATCTGGGATTAGGTCCAAGTAGTAAGTCGTGTGTGTGCAATCTCCTGATGAGGCTTGCAGGGGAGAAGGGGTGTGTGTGGCTTGCAGGGGAGGTGTGTGAGTGTGTGTGTGACTTGCAGGGGAGAAGGGGTGTGTGTGTGTGATGGGCAGGGGGAATTGGGAGGGATGCGTTGGTAAAGGTAAGTCAGTCTCTTTCCAGCCTGCCCTTACCCACCACCACCATGCGCACCCTGGCAGACCCCAGAGGCGACTCAGGCTCCTGTCACTCACCCTGGCCGCCCGGGAGGAGTAAGGGTCCTCGAAGAGCGCCCACATGCGGGGTTGCCAGCCGCGGCAGGACCCGGACCCGGCGCCGGGGCCTGCGCCTCCCTCGTGGGGCCCCAGGCGCTGCAGGGCCAGCTCCCGCTCATCGTCGCCGGCCTCGTCGCGGGGCCCCGCGCCTCCGCCGCCTCCGTCCGGGCTCTCGAAGATGTCGAGCGCCTCCTCGGCGTCGCGGTGCTGCCGGTAGGTCATCCAGCAGCAGGGCTCCACGTCGGTCTCGTCGATGCCCCAGAAGGTGAGCTCCTCCTCGAAGAGCGGCCCGCACACGTCGGCGGGGCAGTGCAGCTTGCCGGTGCGGTAGTAGTTGAGCACGTAAGCGAAGACGCCCGGGTGCCGGTCGAAGAAGAACTCGCAGCCCCCGCCGCCGCTGCTGCCGCTGCTGCCCGCACCACCGCCATCGGACTCGGGCCGGCCCCTGCCGTCGGGATCGGCCAGCCAAGCGAGGCGGGTGCCCGGTAGGGTGCGCAGGGTGCTGCGGTAGGTCTCATGTCGCGTGCCGCCCACGTTGATGATGATCTTCTCCGACGCCTCGCCCTTGGCCATCTCCTCCTTCAGACATGTTTTGGACGGAGGCTTATTCCCCGACTTGCGCCCGCGGTAGGAGGAGACACACACCGAGCTGATCATAAGAAGCGCTGCGGGGCTTCGGCTTGGGGCGGCCGCTGCCCTCCAAACACCCTTCCCGAGGAGGCAGCGTCAGACGAGGGAGGGGGAGGAGACGAGGAGGAGGCAGGAGGCTGCGGCGGCCCCCTCTGCGGTGCAGCCCTGCCCCTGCCTCCCCCCCGGGGCGCGGAGCGGGAGGAGTTGGGTTTCTCGGGTGCACAGGTGGTTGGGGTTTGGGTAGGCAGGGCCGGGGAGGGAGGCAGGATGGGAAAAGGTCAGCCGAGGACCCAAGCGAGGGGCCCGGGGAGGCAGGGGCAAACACACACACGCTCCCCAGCTAGGGCCGGACTCTCAGACGCTCGCGGCCCGGGACACGCCCCCCTTTTTACCCCTCAAAAGACAAGGAAGCGCACAGTGCAGGCGCACTGCGAGGGTCCGGGCGCGCGCGTGCTCACACTCACTCCGGCCACCCTCCGGCTCCCAGACCGCGCCGAGCCGCCGGCTTCCCCGCGGCAGCGGCAGCGCAGCAGCAACAAGTCCTCGGAGCGGCTGCCTGGGCCGGGCCGACGCTCTCACGGCAGCCGGAGCTCCGCGGGCCCGGGCTGCGTGCGGTCAACTCGAGGCGGCGGCGGCGGCATGTGGCCTCTTCCCCCCATTCATAAATCCAGCGCAGGGCACGGATGGCGGGCGGGGCTGAGCGGAGCGCGGCGTTCGGGCGGGCGGGGGCTGCGCAGGGCGAGGCGGCAGCAGGAAAACAAGCGCGCCGCAGGAGCGAGCCTCCGGTCCTGCGTCCGCGGCTCGGCGGTGGCTGGGAGCGGCGCTGGGCTGGGAGCTGCGGGGGCCGTGCTGGGGCGGGGGGGCCTCAGACGGGGCGTCCTGCGCGGCGCCGAGCCTGGGAGGCGGGGCCACTTAGGGGAGCCGGGCTCCGGGGAGCGGGGCTCTGGGCACTGGCGAAGGAGTCTCCCGGGCGGCGGCCGAGCGGCCAAGGACACCTGCAGGCTTCCCGGGCTGCGCCGAGCGGGAGCCTCAGCGCAGCGCCCCGGCGTCAGGCTCCTGCGATCTGGCGGCGCTGGGAGCCACGCCATCCACGCGTCTGCCCATCTCCGGGCGGGGCGCCGGCCTTGGCTCGCGGCAGAGGGCTGGCGAGAGGTGGCCTAAGAGAGGGGGTGCCTCAGCGCCGGTGGGCTGGTGTTCAGGGGGCTCTCGGTGTTCCTCCGGCGGTGGCAGCAGACGCCACTCGCTGGTGGCGCCTTTTCCTCCCGGCCCCGCCTCGCCCGGGCGCGCCCTCCGCGGGGCAGGATGGGCGGGGCGCGGCGCGGGGCCGACCCGGCTAGCTGCAGGGCCCCGGCGGCCGAGCTCAGCCTTCCTCCGCGGACCCGAGCCAAGCCGAGGCGCGTAACCCTCTTGCCGCCAGCGCCCAGCCCAGCGCGCCGCCCCTGCGCGCCTCCGCCGCCATCCCGTCTCGCCCCCCTCGGCCCCGCTCCCCGCCTCCCTCGAGCCCGCAGCTCCTCCCACTGCAGCCTGGAGACCCCGAAGCGCTCTCGACCCCTGACCTCTAACCTCCGCCTGCCCTCTTCTGGGTGCTCCCGTTGCCCCCTCCTCGCCAAGCTGGTCTCATTGTTGCGGGTTCATTGCGGCTGACTGGAGGCCAGGGAAGAAAGAGTGGAGACGGTGTCGCAGGGAGCAGGCTGCCCCTCCTGCCCCAGACACCGTGTTGGGGCCTCCTGACCACCCCACCCCCATCCTGCACCTTCGAGGCCCAACCAGGGCCAAGATGCCCGATGTAAGAGGATGCTTACATCCTCTGTCAGTCACCGAAACCCCGCGGTGGAATGGGGGACCCGGGGGCCTTGGGCATAGAAGCCGCTTCCGGTCTGGGTGGAAGGAAATCTTAGTCCTGGTGCTGTTATGGGTGTGGGCTGAAAGATTAAAGCCAGGGCTCGTCGTTGCCCTGAGGGCACACAGGAGGTGTCCAGATCCTGCTTCCCGGTTCTTCTGTTGTTTCACTCAATGCAATTTGACTTTGCCCTTTTTATGTCTTGTCTCCCTTCTCTGACCCTGAGCTCCTCCAGACCGCACTTTTTCATCTTGATCGCTCCCACAGCGCCTGCCTCTGAGAACCTGTATGCTAAGTGATTGAGAAGCTGCCATACCCAAAACATTAGGCACCAGCCCGACTTTGCTGGCCTCATCCCAAGAGCAATTTCCAGATTCGTTTGTTTTTAAGTCCAGAACCTCTTCTACATCTTTACATTAATCTTCATTTTTTTACAGCTTCAGGCAGCCTCCCTGTCCATCTGGATGGTGTAAGGCAGGAATGCAAGGTGATTGACACCTGTCCTGGGCACCTGTGCACTACTGGGAAAAACAAGACAAGGAGCTGGTGTGCTCTGAAGAAAGGTTAAAAGCCCAGTGCAAATGCAAGGGATTCTTATGATTAAAAGTCGCGTCATTAATGAGATCAGAAAACCAAAATGCTGGTCATCTTTGATGATCTGTCCTAATCTGCAGGGGAGGTAGGTGCCATCCTGGACTGTAGTCAGAAACACACAGCTGGCCCCCCATTTGTGTCTAGTCCCCCCACCCCTTGGACCCGATACCTGCATTTCAAAGTTTAGCTGGCTTTGAGTTTGCTGCAGTGAAAAAGAAATATCCCAAATATGACTGGGAAGAGAAGACCCAGGACAGGCCAGAAGCCAGAGTGAGGAAGGAAGAACCACACAAGGATATTAAAGAATTGGCTGTAATGAATAGCTTTCACATCCTTTCTGGTTGTGTTCTGGCAAACCCCCTTGGGGTCTCTCCCCGACTTTCCATTCTTCAGGCTGGCTGAACTCAGGCATTCCAAGAAAGGGAAGAGGTTGATGGGAGTGGGGTGGGAGAGGGGGAAAAACCATTCTGCATCTACACCTGAGTCATTTGTTCGTTCAATAAATATTTCTTGAGTGTCTACTATGTGCTGGAAGCTGTTGTAGGCCTGGAAATCAATGAATAAAACAGAGCCGCCCACCTCGCCCTAGTAAAGCTCTCCCTCTGGGTGCTTGCATTCTGCAGTGTTTGTGTATGGAGATAAGCATGTGGGGAGATAGGTGGAGGGAGAAAGCCTCCAGGGAAAAGGGGGGCCTGGAGGGGAGGCCAGAAAGCTGGGGTGTGGGGTTGGGGAGCCCAGGCAGAGCCAAGGAACACAGAGGGACCACCTGGGAGAGGAGTAAAGGTGCACTGGTGGGGAGGGCCCCTGGCTCAGCCCGCTGACCAGCTCCTGGGGAAGGGAGCTCAGCCTCAGGCCCGAGGCCTCACCACTTGCTGAAGGTTTTATCCTAGAGCTCTGGGCTAACCTGTTACCTGGGCCTTTCTGGAATTTTCTGAGGGATTCTGTATGCTGTAGTTGGCATCATAGGGTTTGTCCCATCAGTCTGTGTGTATGAGCTCATGCTGTTTCCCCAAAAACACAGAACCCAGGAAGGAGAGGCAAGCCCCATGCCCAGCCTGCTGGTGTGACAGCCTACTGTGGATGGTTGGGTGCTGCCCCCTGGTGGTGCTGGAAGACCCTGCTCCAGACCGCACCCTCATCTCTGGGCTGTGGTGATGAGGAGAAAAAGGGCTGACAGTCTGGGTGACAGCTGATTCTGGGCTTCCTGTCGATTCCAGGACCTTGGGTATCTCTCCCAGACTAATTCTCCCATCCGGGACTCTGCCTGCTCTCTCCCTTTTCCATTGCTCCAAGCCCTTGATAATTGACAGGCTTAGGCAAGACTGTGAAGCAGTCACAGTTGTAAATTCCTAATCTTGCAAGGTTCTTTCCCTCCATTATCACCTTTTCCTCACCTTCCTCCCTTGGGTGCCCCGGTTTCTTCTGGCTGTCAGGAAAGAGCATCTGTCTGGGAGCCAGTTCATGCTCAAGTGTCAGCCACAGTGGTTTCCCTCACCAGGAATAAAGGTATAGAAGAAGGATAGGAAAAGAGGACAATGTTTGATCCCAGAGGACACTGATGGAGGCTGTCAAGCACCTATAGCCCTTCTAGAACCCTCAAATAAGGCCCTTGCTCTCTCAGAGCTGAAGCGGATCCCTCCAGTGGGAAGCTGGAGAGCTTGACATCAAAGTCATTTACCCTTCTTTCCCCACTGGCGGCTTAGTGTGGGGCTCAGCCACTTTGGGGTGAAAGGAGCCATCCAATCCCTCCATCTTCCTTCTTTGGACTCTGCTTGTTTGGAGGGGCTCCAGGCCTAGTAGCAGGCCACATGGCTGCCAAGGCAAGGTCCTATCCGTTGATACTCCTGCCTCCCCCTTTTGGCATTCCAGCTCCTGCCAGGGACTGATGCCTCCTCCCTCAGGTCCAGGTCAAGGAACCAGCATCCTTTCTCAGCCTGCCCTGCTCCCCAGCCTGGTTAATTGAGTTACTTTATCAGCGATGATCACTGGGACAGAGGGTGATAGCGCCTTTCCCCTCATGGAGGGAGAGAAGGGAGGGCGAGAGTTTGCTTATCAGTTCATTTTATCCTGCCTCCCACCCCACTCCCAGGCAGCCTGCAGAGAGTTGCAGGCTCCAAATCAAATGCTAAGAGCCTTCCCAGGACGGATCTGGGGAGAACCCAGCCACAGAGGACAGCCCACAGGGCTTGGTGGAGGTCAGATAGAATGGCTCTGCACAAGGGCTGAAGGCAGGGTTGGGTTGCTGTGAAAATCCTAGTGGAGGTGTATTTTGGGCTCTGGGGAACTCCAAAGATGGCCTTTGATGGCCCAGCTCTTAAAGGGAAGGGAACAGAACAGTGCAGTCCATAAGCTCAGTCCTGGCCACAACTCAGAGCCTCATAAACCATGGACTTGGAGTCATAGGGCTGGAAGGTGCCAGCTCACAGGCACATTCTGCTTGAGAGATTTCAGGCCTGGGAGCAGTGGTGAGCTCTGTGAGACTGAGCTGGGGCTGGGATTAGGCCAAGGGCAGAGAATGATCCGGGGGCCCCCATGGCCTCTGCAAGGAGACCAGTGTTCATGGGAATCAGGACCAGGGCTAGCTAAGTGGACCCCTAGAGCTCTCCTTGCTCAAGGCTGCTGGAGTGGAGACCCAGCCTGGGTCCAGAGAGCATGAGCATGCACATGCACATTGGCTCAGGGCTCAGCTGGCAAGACTCCTTGGCACTCAGCATTTCTCCATCTAGAAAAGTACAGATTCCTCCCACCTGGGCTAAATTCCAGCAAAACTGGCTCATTCCGTTAGAGTAGTGAATTAGTCCTGATGGGCCCGGTCCCCTCCAGCTGTGTCCTGGGGAAAGGGGAAGCAGTTGTTTGGAGAGGCAGACCAAACTCTAGCTCCTCTTGGATGCTCATGGAGCCCATGATCCTTCTCTGCTTGGGTTAGCCCTGGGAAGAACAGAGAGACCCAGCACCCAGCCGGCTCCGACCCGGGGAGCCACAGGGTGATCTGCACTGAGTCTTTCTGCTCCGCAGCTGGCACTGGGGCTGGCATGGAGTAATCTTAATAATGGTTTGTTTGTTGTTGAGTGACAGCATAGTCTTCTCCCCATTTCCCAGGTTTCTTCCTATCTAAGACAATGTAAGTAAAGAAAGCAGTGTGCCTGGGCACAGTTGGGTATTCCACTGGGCGGGACACTCCAAGTCAGACTATGACTGCCACTGCAAGGCAGGCACCCTTCGAGATCCTTCTTTGTACACCAGTGCTTAGGACAATGCTAGGAACTCAGAACACGCCATTCATGCTTGATGCATGGAATTAATGAGGCGGTGGGATGAAGGTGGGAGAGGGTGGGAGACCCTGGGAGCCCTGTGCTTTGCTGTACTGGAGGGTGCACTGGATTGGGAG